CAAAAGAGCAAAGTCCAGAGGTCGGCCCGGTGGCGCAAGCGGTTAAGTGCGCGCGCTCCGCTGCGGTGGCCCGGGGTTTGCTGGCCCGGGTCCCGGGCGTGCACCGACGCACTGCTTGGCAAGCCATGCTGTGGCGGCGTCCCATATAAAGTGGAGGAAGATGGGCACAGATGTTAGCCCAGGGCCGTCTTCCTCAGCAAAAAAAGAGGAGGATTGGCGGATGTATGTTAGCACAGGGCTGATCTCCTCACAAAAAAAAAAAAAAAAAAAGCAAAGTCCAACAGTAACGGTAAATAACCCAAGTCCTGTGCTTGTGTTTTCTGTACATCACGGAGGAAACTCTGGGTTTTGGTAACACTCTCCCCCGTGGCTGCTCCTCTGCTGCCTCCTGTGCTGTTCTATTAAATTGCTCCATCACCCGGCCAGGAGGAAACCCTCTCCTGTCCCTGTCTCTTCCTGCAAGTTCTCCACCACAAAGCCCTGGAGTGTCTAAAGGGGGACTCTGTCTGGAGGGAGGGAGGAGACAGGCTCGGGGAGGCCAGCCCGCATCCATCTCAGAGGGCAGCGGGGAGGTGGCCGGGCGCTCCCAGTAAATGCTCCTGTCCAAGTGTGCGTGTGTGTGTGTGTGTGCGTGTGTGTGCGTGCGTGCATGTGTCGTGCACAGGAACCGGAACGAAACTCACGAGGTGTTGCCTCACCCATCTCCAGCTCCCATGGAGCTCAGAGCAGATGAAGACTCGGGTTTCCACTGCAGGTTGGTAGATTCAGGAGAACATTATCCATCCGCGTGAGAACTATGAGTCGCCGTACAATGGGATTCAGTGTGTGTTTCCAAATCTCAAAGATTACAATTATTTAAGATTTGAAAATCACAAGTTTTGCATGTTCTAGATTGTAATTGCAATTATTCAAACATGAAAGCCTGTGTTTATAAGGTGTCTTGAGTTTACACACTGCTTTGATAGACTTGACCACTTACAACCTTCAGCGGACGAGGACGAGGAAAATCCTAAATCGCAAAGAGGGGGACTGGTCCTGTTTGGTCTCATTATTGCGTAATTAAATTCTAACCGTTTATTTTCCCCGTTGTTTCTTCAGCTCCAGGTGTTGAAGAGAAGCGGCTTCTGGGGGCAGCGTTCACGCCGAGGCCTGCTGTTCTGGCTCCGTCGGGGACGCCCCGGCAGGCGCAGGTGGGACCATTTTCATGAGCAACGAGACCGCCCACGGCCACCTCTGCCAGCTCCACTTCCCTCATTAAACCTTTGGAGAAGATAAAGCAAGTGAGAGTCCCTTTTCTTTCCATCTTCCAAACAACACTTTCTGTATAAAAGATGCCCTAAATCCTTTGTCACATCCACACGAGAGGCCGTGCCTCTGAAAGTGCCTGGCGGACGCCCCCCCAAATCGCCCGTGGCCTCTGCTGCGTCCTGTCCCCGTTTCCCGGAATAAAGGGGTCAGTTTGTAAACTTGCAGCAGGGCCTGTGTTCAGTCCGGGCGGCTGCCTGGAGGAGCAGGGCCGGCTCTCTGACCGCGATGTCAGTGGGCCAGGCTGAGGCTCACCTTTAAGTAAGTCACAACTGAAGAAAAAGCCTTCTGTAAACCTCATGACTAAAGATGGGCAGACTGGGGAGAGGAGGCGAGGAAAGTCTGGTGGGGCTGGTGTTTACCGGTGAGGGGCTACCGCAGCCTTGGCAAGAGCTGAGATGCTGCCCCTCTTCGCTGGGTTGGCACCTGCCCAGAAGCCAGCATCTTCACTTCAGAATTTATTCTGTGGGAAAACCCGGGCAAACACATAAGCACTCATAAAAATAACGCAAACGTTCATTGTTAGGAGATGGGTGGAGTAGACTAAGTATGTCCATGCCGTGGATTATTATGCAGCTGTTAAAAATAAAGCAGATTGTACATAGACAGGCAAGATCCCCACAATCTGTCTTAACTAAAAAAAGCAAGTTGCAGAACTTTCTATACAATATGACCTAATTTCCATGAAGAAAAAGAAGAAAGAGAGTGAGGGAAGGAGAGAGAGGTTTGCTTAGTCATAGAGGAGAACATTGGGAGTAGTATCGGTCACTCATAATACCTCTAGAGGTGAGGGGGCAGAAGGAGGATGGAATTCAGAGCTTTTTCACTTTCTAGGTAATATTTACCTATAATATTTGAGGTTTTATAACTCCTCTATAATTTCTGTCACTTGAAAACCTGAAAAAAACAGCCATTTAAAAAACTTTTTTTTTTTTTTTTTTGGTGAGGGAGATTGTTCCTGAGCTAACATCTGTGCCCATCTTCCTCTATTTTGTATGTGGGTCACCTCCACAGCTTGGCTTGATGAGTGGTGTGTAGGGCCACACCCAGGATCCAAACCCACGAACCCCAGGCTGTCTAAGCGGAGTGGGCGAACTTAACCACACCACCACCAGGCTGGCCCCCCAAAACTGCCCTTTTTGGTAAGAAAGGAATGTGCACGTTATTTCCATTGCTAGAGAGGAGACAGCTTCCTCAGAGCAGCTCCTGAGCACTCACACCTCCCTCTCCATCAAGTGTTCACCCCCTTCCTCCCGTCGGGAGCATGCTCCTCCGTAGACAAGTCCTCATAAGCCCTTCTGCCAGCAAATAGCTGACAGCACGCTGGTGACCGGGAGGCAGGGATGAGGCCTTGCAGACCGGACCTCCTCTTCATCCTTCCCCCCTGCTTTGCTCTTGGGAAGTTCACCAGTGGCTGGTTGGTCTGGCTCATTTCCAAGTTCGGCCTCTTGAGAATCTGATTTTAGTGGTGCGCTATATTTCTCTTGAAAGGAAGCAGTTTGGTGGGGCGTGGAGTTCATTAGAAATAGATTTTATCTGCCTGTGCATAAATGAGGTCAGTGGTAGCTCAAAGACACGCACACATACACACGTGCACACAAAGACGCACACATGCAAATACACATGTGCACACACACACACATACAAAGACACACGCAGGCACACACACGCGTGCACATCTGTGCTCAGCCTGGTCTCAGGTTCTGTGGAGCTGGGGGCGGGGTTTCAGGAGCTGCAGGGCCCCACCCCTAGGGCTGCTGGGAGCCCCCGTGGGGTCATTGCCACCACTGCCCAGCTGCTCTATAAGGATGTCCTGATGGGGCATCAGTGCCTGGGGGAGGGAAGGTGCCGTGTGCCCTCCTCTCTCCCTCCTCCATCCAGGCTCCACTTTATGTGGGGAGATTGCCTCCCAGTGTGAGGGCACTCGGTGGAAAACGTGAGTCCACCCTCCGTTTGAGAGCCTCGGGCCTCAGGGTTTGCTGGTCGGTGGCTTCTTACTCAGTGGACAGATATGAAATCAGGTTTTATTGAAGTGTTTACACAGCGGCTTGTGGACACTCCATCCACACGCACATTTTAAAGCAACACATGTTGACTCTGTTCGCCCGCTCCTGTGAACTATCAGTAAATATTCACTTTCCAGCCCCCTTCCTCTTTACCAGGCCAGACAGACCAGTGACTGGTCCGCTGGGCCTTGGTACGTGCCAGCTGAGGGGAACATACTGAGACCCTGTTAGCGTCCTGTCACGTTGATGGCCCCAGATGAACGCGCCTCTGCTCTCCAGTTAGTCATGCGGGTCTGGTTACAGCAGATCCTCTGAGTCAGGACCTGGCTACCAGGGGCTCTAGGTGGTCTCTGGATATCCCGCTCTGCTATCCCGACAACGCTGTTTTTGTCTGGGTTTCTCTCACCAGGGACATGGGTTCACACGCCAAAGGGTGAGCCTTGCAGCTTTCCACTGGACGGTCCAGCCCCTCCCTCAGCCCCTCCCTGCCTGCCAGGCCCTGCTCCCCTCCGAGGGCCATCTCAATCATTGACACCGCGACTAGGGTAGATGATGCCTCAGAAAGACTTCACGGCCTCATCTCTAAGGGGCCCAGTATCATAAACGGGGTGAGGAATCTGCACGGGGTCTGGGCTGCACGGAGCGCCCTGGACCGGTGTGGGTTTGCTCTCCTTCTGCCCGCCCCCCCCAACAGCCTCTCAGCCGCCCCCTCTCAGACCACTCCTCAGGTCCGCAAACATCAAAGGAACTAGAAGCCAGGACTGCAGTTTGCCAACATTGGACAGGAGTGCTTGACTCACTTTGATACTTTGTTAAAATAATTCTCCACTTAAATAGAAATGCCTTTAAGATTATTTTCATGAAAAAGAGAATAGGTTTCCACTCCCATCAGATAAAATGCCTGGTGTCACCCTGACACCCAGGAGCCTGAAGCGTGGCCACAGGTCACCCAGTGGCCCTTGCTGAGCGCCCCTCTCGCCCCCGCGGGGTGAAGGGGCCTGAAGTGGCCCTGGAGGCGTCCGTCGAGCGGTGGAGGGGCCCCCACGAAGTGCAGAGGCTGACATGCCACCACCCGCAGTCACTACCCGACGCTCCTCTCCGCACTGTCCCTGGGCTGGGCCAGCCAGGGTGGTGCAGAAGCAGGGAGAAGAGAGCCCTGGACGGTGGTGTGGACAGGACCCGGGCATGTGGGGACTGGTGAGGCACCCGGGAGGGGGATCCACCTTGGCTTCCAGGAGTGGTTTCATGGAGGTCCTAATCTGGCTTCTACACATCCTGCAGACGGAGGGCTACCTGTGGGTCCCGGGGCAGGGAGGCCAGTGCTGCGGGTCATGCGGGGCAGGGCCCAGCGCCCTGCCGAGGACAGGCCCTGAGACTGGGAAACGCCCTTGTTTTCCTTCTGCAGCCGCTGGACCCACAATCTGGGCCACTGCAGCTAGTTTCAGGGACCACCTCGGTCTCCCCATTCTCTTCGAAAATGGGTCCACCTACACGGCCAAACAGCATTATAAACAAAATTACCTAAATGCTGGAGTGTAACAATAATTAGATTAAATCCCAGTCAGTTACGGTGTGACCCCAGTTCCACGGACGGGATAAGCAAAGACCAGCTGATTGAGTTGCTGCCGATTCACCGACCAGGGCACCTCGCCCCGCACCCCGCGGGCTCTGGGGGTGTCGGTCTGCACACTAGATGACCGAGGTCTCCGTCTGCAGGGCAGATGGGGCACAGGAACCTCGGTGGAACTGCAGGGCGCTCTCCGAGCCATTCCTCGAGAGGGAGGAGCTGTGGAGCCTGTAGTCCCTGCCAGAGGGCTGGCTGGGGCACAGGCTTCTCCATTTTCTTCTCAGCTCGCTCTGCACCTGGTGGGGGGCAACACGGGTGGTGTGGTCAGTGAACGGGTCAGCCTGGGACAGGAGCTCAGGTGCCCTCTAGAGAAAACACCCCGGGAGTGACCACTTCCCTCCACCCTTTCCTGGGTGTCAGGCTGTGGCCATCCCTCTACATCGGATCAGATGGGCTTGGGAAAGAGGGAGGAGGGACTGGAGGCCGAGAGAAAAGTGCTCAGACTGCGGAGCCCGAGGCTCTGAAATCTCCACTCCATGAGACAGAGGCTGATCTACCCAAACCCGAGAGGTTAACTTGTGTTTTCAGAAAAGAGCTTCCACAGGAGCTGGCAGCCCTTTGCACGGACAGTCTTGGTTCCACTCTCTCCCTCCCGCGAGGGTGTTTCAGGAAAGGTTGGAAAGAGTGAGGAGAGGCAGGTGGAGGGGTCGCTCGCACAAACATGAGGACGGAGAACAGAGCAAGGAAGAGATGGCTCAGCTAATGGAAGACGTGCAGGGGGATATCCCAACGGAGCAGAGAGAAAGCCAGAGACAGCGGGGAGGGCCTGGGAGAGGGAAGAGCCGGGCCAGCTGGGAGCCTGCAGTCAGGGCGTCAGGTAGTGGTGGGAGAGCGCCAGGTGTGTGTCCCCCACCACCTCACAGCCACCTCCCTGTGCCCAGAACGGTCTCAGGCCTCCCCAGTCAGGCGCTGAGGGGTCTCCTGTCTGAGGAACCCCTGAAGGCAGAGGTGCCGCCGGGCACAGCAGCAAGCTTGGGCAGAAGAGATAATTAAACAGCGGGGGTGATGATGATGTTCCCGAGCTTGAAGTTTCCTGTTACTCCTACAGCTGCTGTTGTGGGGGAACCGCTAACAGAGGCGGAAGGAAGCCGACTGGGGAAAAGCATTCACGCTGGCGGAGGGGAGAGGAACCTGGAGAGCGTGAAGAGGTGCATGAAAGGAACAGAGAGGCGTCGGCCATGCACAGCTGGAAAGGCAACCACACGGGATGAAGTGATGGCGCACAGGAAATGAGCGACGGGCAGAGGGCATGGCGCATGAGGGACTCACGCCCGTACTTCCTGAGGAGCCTCTGGCAGCAGCTTCAGAAGCAGGTGCGTCTCCCCCTTCCCTCCGCCCCCTCTTGGTCTGCACGGCCCCTGTGTCGTGTCTGGGACACACAAGGGTCAAGGAGCGAGACAAGGTCCATGCAGAGTGGCGGGGTCCCTCTCACTACCCGATGGGGAGCTTTCCTGAGTGGGACCCGCACAGACTGGGCAATCCCGCTGCTGGGTGTGGAGAGGAGGCCCGTGCACGGCGCTGGCGGGTCGGCAGGAGGCTGGGCCAAGATGGTGCGGGAGGAGTCAGCATGGCCCTGGCTGCTGGGCCAAGAGAGCTGCGGACACGGGACAGCGGGGCTGACCGACAGGAGACCCAGGCTCTCGTTCCAGGTTGGGGAGCGCTTTAGGAAACCCCCACACATGCAACATCTGCACGTGGCTCTGAGGCTGACGAAGCACTTACTTCACTGTTGAGAAAGCAGTAGAGGACGGCCACCACCAGGCCCTGCGGGTGAGAAAGGCCGTCAGAGGCCGCCGCCAGCCCTGGGGGCAGGCCCAGCCCTCCTGCACGCACCTGGAACGATCCGAGGCACAGTTCGAACAGTATCTGGTATTTGGAGGAGATGCCAATGGGAAAGACGGCGAACACCATGTAGTGGACTCCGAACAGCGGGATGAGCAGCAGGGTGGACTTGGTCAGCCGCCTGCACCGGAGAGAGGAGACTGAGTGCGCCCGCACGCCCATGCCATCAGGCACCAGTGACCGCCGGTCTCGCACGCGGGCCCAGGGCCTCACCGGGCTGAGCCTTGTTTCTCCTAAGTTTAAGTAATACACCCCACCCCGTTATGGCAGAATGTGCAAATGTAGTGATGAAAACCACTTTTCCTCATGAAGCGGCATAGCTCTGTCGAGAAATCTTGAGGAGTTGGCCAATCATGACAGTGGTCTGAGGGGTCCTACGGCCCCTGTCCCTGGCGGACAGTCAGGACCGGCACTGGTGTCTGAAGGACAGAGGCAAATTCTACTTGAGATGACAGGAGCAGGCTCAGCAGGGGTGAGGCCCCCGACACCAGCACGACAGAGTCCCTGCAGCCGGCTGTTGATAGGTCCCGGCCGATGATCCGTGCTCTACATCCCACAGATTCTGTGGAATCAGGGAATGATGTAATTTCTCTGTCCATCAAAGAGTCATCACCCTCCCTCACTAAAAAGCAGATTTTCTGCTCATTGCATTTATGTGGCAAATGAAGGACCTGAATTCAATTCTACCCTCCCCAAGGCTGCATGAGTTATCCCGAGTCCCCTCCCCTCCGAGCAAAGGCACGTCATGGTTCTCTAAGTCAGCGCTTCTCCAGCCTCAGCTGTGCCAGAACTGCGTAGAGGTCATGTTAAAACGCAGACTGCTGGCCTCACCCTCAGCTCCCAGCTCTGCAAGTCTGGGGTTGGCCTGAGAATCTGCATTTCTACCAGGTTCCCAGAGATGTGGTGGCTGCTGTCTGGGAACCCCACTTTGAGAACTCTCATTGCTGCACGTCAGAATCACCTGGGGAGCTTTTACAACTCCTCAAGTGCAGATTTTCTCTTCATCCCACTGAATCAGGTCGCTGCAGGTGGGACCCGGCATCAGGAGGTGTACCATCTTCCCAAGTGATTCCAGTGTGGCCATATCCAACCCTTGCAACTCCAGCATGGTCTGTGGATCAGGAGCCCTGCGGTTGCTGGGGGCTCGTCAGGGTGCAGGATCTTGGCACCCCCAGGCACAGTCAGGCCCCCGGTGACGTGTGTGCACGACAAGGAACATCCAGCGGTCTCTCCAACCGCAGCCTTGTCCTGGAAACTCTGCATGGAGGGAGCTGAGGGATGAGGCCCCACTTTGCTCCTCTCCCACCTTCTCTTGTCAGTTGACCCCACCTAACACTTAGTAAGAAGTCTTCAATTTCTTTACATGTTTTTGAAGCACCTGCCTCAAACCTAGCAGTCAGAGCCTCGAACATAGAAATGTAGAAATTCTAGAAGAGTGTTCATTTCTCCCAATTTCCCTCACAAGAGAACACCACATCCTGTGGGGTTTACAACCAAGCAGAGTTTCCCCTGTTTCCCGGTGATCTGCACAGCACAAACCCCAGAAGCTGAGCTCATTCTGCAGCAGATGTGAGCAGCGCCTGCACCCGGTCTGTGGGGAAGGCCGTCACCGACACTGCACTGCCCACTTGCAGACGGGCACACGGAACTTGGGACGCTGTGGTGCACCTGTCCCATTTAACATCTCGGTTCACAATGAGCCTGTGAGTAGAAGCTGGGATCCTGCAGGGACCTGTGCCCTTTAGTTAAATGTTGGAGTGAGAACCTGCCCGGACTCCCATTATTAATACATCTGGAGGCTGCTATTGTGCTCGTCTCCAGGAAAGGGTTTCGGTGAGGCTAGACCCTGGGACCCTGTCCAGGGAGATTTGCTGCCACTGTCATGAGACAGTTCACAGAAAAGACGTCAAGATATAACCGCAGGGAGCGTCAGACGCTCTGCCTTCTTGTTGTCCTGGAAAAAGAGCAGATTCTATTATCCCCACTTAATTTTGTTTCCAAAATAGAAGCGTCTGTCTCTGAGATCTCCCTAGCGAACACTCCCAAAGAACCCAGGGAAAAGGTCAGCATAGAAGCTAAACAGACCTGCAGAAAATCTAAAGTTCAGTCTGAAAGGCGACCGAGAACGTCCTGCCCCTGAGCCTCAGGCGCGGGTGGGTCCCAGGAGCCGGCTCCTCACCTGAGCAGTAAAAACCTGCTCAGATGGTGCGGCCCAGACCGCTCTATCCTTTGTGGTCTGAGTGGAATCCCACCTCTAGGTCTGGCCTTGTGTGCAGCCTCCTCTAATGTGCGTCGGGCAGAGAAACCAATTCCTTGGACTTTATACACTCCAGGCCACAATTAGACATATCTGTTCACCAAACTCACACAATACTTACTGGTGCCAGGTGCTGAATGTTTTTCAAATATTAACTCAAAGAATCCTCATAACCTTACAGAAAGTATTATTATTTCCACTTTACAGGTAAGGACACTGGGGCACAGAGCATGTGGTCACCTCCCCCAGGCCTCCAGCTGGCATGTACACCCAGCATCAGGCTCCTGACCACGAGGGATGCTGCCTGTCCATCTCCCCAGGTCCCCCTGCTGTCTAAAGGAGGGAAGGGAAGCACACCCTGAGTGGGTTCCCCCCACACCCCCCACCCGTCAGGTGACCTGCCCAGGGTCATACAGCTCTCTGCGGCTGTGATTCCAACCCTGTCTGTCTGAGCCCAAGGCTCCCACCGGCTGGATCAGCCACTCCACACTAAACTAGTGTTTATTTTATACTCAAGTTGTGGACTTTATTTGTTCTTTATACATTTGTATAGACTCTTTAAGTTCCTTTAGAGAGTCCTCAGGGCCTCATTACTTAGCTGGATGACTATGGGTGACTTACTGAAGCTGCGTTCTCTTTTCCACTGAATGGGGAGGAGGACAACCATTGTCATGTAATCCTTCAGTCAATAAACATGAACTACTATTAAGTACGAGGCCCGGCATTAGGTGCCAGCATGCACCATGTGGTCTGATGGGGAAGAAAGAATTAAACATAAAATACAAATAATGTGTGGTCAAGGAGAAAAAGTAAGATTACAAGATAGGAAAGCGGACAGAACACTCCGGCGCATGCTCACTGCAGGAAATCCAGCCTCGAGGAAGGAGGGTCTCGCGGGGACAGTCGCCGCCAGTGCCCTCCCTTGGACAAGACTCTCCAGCTCTCACCCGACACACGCAGGTCCCTGCAATCAGCCAGGAGCACACTCCTGCGAGGACAGGAGGAACACTCGGCCACGTGCCGGGCACCAGACCCTCGCTCTCCACCATGCCCTCGCCCCCTCACTCTCGGCTCCAGGCCGTGTGAGGTCTGAGGCTGCTCAGCACGGGATCTAAACTCATACTCACTTATACTGTGACTGGTCATTGCCGCCGACATCTGGGGTTGTCAACTTCTGCAGGAGAATTCGTATAATACTCACGAAAAGGACAAAATTGACCTGCACAGAGAGACAACATGTTTGTGCGTGACTTCCCTGCAAGGGAGGCGGGTGTGGCCAGGTATCTGTGGCTCCGCCCAGCCAGGACAGGGCTCCAGGCACTGCAGTTACAGAAGTTCGCGAGCCCTGCCCGGCCTGGGTCTGCCCCCACATCAGAGCCGGGCATCGTCCCTTGGCTGCTTCATGTGTTTTATGACCCCGGCTGCGGCAGCATGAGTAAATTGATTTTGAGAGGTGAAATCCGGCCCAGCCCTGACATCGCTTGCTCAGCCCGACTGATTCCTCTGCAGAGAACATGCTGCCCTCTTCACTGAGACTTCACCCGGAAGGCGGGCTGAGTCCACGGTGGAGGGTGCGAGGTTCTTGTCTGCGAAGGAGGACTGAGCAGGATGTGGCCACTTATATTTAACCCCGGACAAGGGGCTCGCTCTCCGCCCAAGTGTGCAACCCCCGGGGAACTCCAGTTTCACAGAGATTACTCACTATGATAGAAATTAGGATTGGTGTTCGGATGACCCACCAGGGAACACTGTGGTCGTTGGTGTCCCAGCAACTATGGAGAAGAGAGGGAAAATCAGAAATCAGGTCACTCCCGGTCCATCTACAAACCAGGGGCACGAGGATGAGCGTGCTGCCTGTGGACTCGCCCGAACCGGCTCGCACAACACCGGCCCCTCTCCCTCCCACCCCCAAGCCATTTCACTCGGCTTGTTCCAGGGTCCCTCCTGAGCGCGTTGCTCCACTCAACAGCACCATCGCTCTGCACTTAGAAATCTTGATGAGCCCGTCTCTATCGAGTGATTCTGTTTCATTTTATCTTCTTGACATGATAGTCTGCGGATGGAGGTGAAATGAAGGCATCACCCCAGAAGCTGGGAGAAGGGGCAGGTCAAATCTCACGAAAACCCCATAACTTGGGAGTTGGTGCAGCTCACACTTGTTCCAGCAAACATCAAAAACGGGAAGTTTTCTCTGGAAAATTAGTTTCCCCTCACCTCCCAAATGGCTTGTATTTGTATCTTGAATAAAGGATTAAAATGTCTTCAGAATAACTGAGGCAGGTGCAGCTAGGAATGTTTGTCTAGTGCTGTTTTCATCTCTGATTTTCAGTGTAAGGGCGGACCCCAGCAGGCAGCTGGGACAGGATGCTGTACAATGCCGCCGTCACTCCCTCGGCCCCCACACCCCAAGGGGGGCTCTACAGCTCCCTACCCTGTCCCTGGATCCTCGAAGTTTCTGCAACAGGATGTGGAGCCTTTGGAACCCGCAGGGCCCTGAGGAGCCTTCTGGCCGATGCTATCTCAGCCCCCGGCCACCCCACAGGTGCCTGGGGGTGTGAGCCAGCCGGGCTGAGGCCAGAAGAACCACCACGTGAGTCAGCGCACAGAAGCACACCCAACCAAGGGATGATTTAAGCCACCGAGTTTCGGATGGTGTGTGACTAGTCGTGTGTAACCTGCAGGCCCCGAGAACCCTGTGTGAGGCGCAGCACTCGTGCTGGGAACTCTGGTGCCCAGGTCTGTGGCCATGGTCTGGCTCATGGTCCACACAGAGCAGAGGGGCTCCCAGGGCTGCTCACGCTGCTCTCTCTGCTCAGGATGAGTTCGCGGGAGAGAACACTCCCTCAGAGGGCTGTCCTGCAGCCTCTTCAACCTGATCTCCACCGGGTCCCCTCTCCACACTCAGCTCAGCAGACAACACAAGCCCCTGCTTGGTTCCCTTTTGTGACACTTCTCCTCGTCCTAAGAAGCTGCTCCCGTTTCTGCCTGGTTTATCCCCGTCTCAGCCCACCACAAGACCTGGTTCAGTTCCCGTCTCTCACTCGGGTCTTCCCACATGCTCCAACCCCAAGGGAGTTTGACGCTTCCCGTCTATGGGGTGGTCAAGTGCTGTCTGTGTCACTCTCACTTGGCTGCAAATGCCGCCTTCTAACCAGGCAGGAAGCTTCCCAAAGACACAGATGCAGGAGCTCTAGCCCATAGAGAGGAGAGGGACGGACACAGCACTCACCCCGTGTCTTCCAGGGAGAGCCTGGCCGCAGTCCATGCCCCGATGCAGACTGTGGGGATGCCTGCGGAGAGACACCTGGTTACCCATGGCCCCGAGTGCACTAACCTGTACAGCTCTGCAGGGACACAGTGTGCACCTTGATGAGCCAGCGTCGTCAAGGACGAGGGCTTTCTGATGAAAAGATTAGGCGGAAACTCTTCATAATATACAGGTTTATGCTCGGGCCTTATTAAGCAGTGAAGGTAATTAAATATTTGTTTGAAATTAAGCTGAACCTTCAGGGCCTGAAGCTCGTCCTTGTGCGTGGCAAGTGCTGTTGCTGAAGTCAGGAGGGGGTGTTCACTGACGTGGCAACAGCCGTCCCTCAGCTTGACACCCCTGTCCAACGCTGGCTCCTGCAAGGCTCCTGCTAACTGGCGCGTGATCAGGACCTCACGAGGGAAGGATTCCTGCTCCTTCTCCTCTTAGGCCTTTCTTTCTGACTTTCCCACCATTGGGGGATAGTCAAGGAATGGGAGTTTAGATCAGTTTTAAACTAGGCTCCTGGTTCCCAGAAGTAGTCAAGTGTTGGCAGTAGGAACCTCCAGTTGTCCTGGCAAAGCTCTTCCTAATCTGACTTGAAGTGCACCCAACAGGAGCAGCAAAACGTTTTTCTGAGCTGAGAAAGCCTACATTTATAGGTCAGAGGGGTTTGTGGGGTGGCAGACGGGGCATCGGGCATGCACGGGAGGTTGGCAGGGAGGTGAGTCCTTACCCCATCCAATCAGGAGATAGGCCACGAAGCGTCGGCTGGGGGAGAATATGGCCACCAGGAGGGTGTGGAGGTACAGCCCTTCCACCAGGAGCCAGTAGAAGTTGGCCATGATGCAGTACTGGAAGAGCACCAGGCTCAGCTTGCAGCCCACCTGGAACGTCAGAGAAGAGCAAGAGAACGTGGCCCCTGAAGATGAAAATGGTTCAGGCAGGCAGAGCTGCTGCAGCACCCAATGCACTCATATTCCTGTAAGAACCTAGGACACCCTGACACCGAGGTGTTGGCTGCAGACATGTGCTGCGTCAGAGCGAGGCCCTTGTCCTCCGCCACACCCCGACTCTGAACTTGCTGGAAGACAAACGGGGGACGAGGCAGAAGCACCCAGCTGTCCCCGAGTGTCACGTGCTGGACCATGAGGTTTCAGGAGGCTTGCCTGACCTCCCCTCCGGTCCTCTCCACCTCTTCTCATCGTCCTGCATCCTCGTCCCCGCTCACTCCCCTTTCCTTCTCTCTGTTCTTCCTTGCTGTCCTCTCTCAACAAGAGATGAGAAAATAAAGGGGAAAACAAGAGAAACCTAGCAAATCAACAATACCCCCTGGAATTCTGAAAAGGGTTTCAGAGGGAAAAAAATTACGTATTAATAAAACAAATAATAGTATTTTAATCTCTCAGACTTTCATATAACTAAAAGTACCAGGTATTTCAAGTTCATGAGCAAACATGAAATTGCTGGTTTTAATCACTAAGTTTACACAGTGTGCTGGAAAAGAACGCACTTCATTCTATTCTCCTTCTGTATCTTTGCAGCCTTCCCTCAAAAAAAATATATAGGTGGATATACTTATATATTCATACATATGGATAGATATACTTTTATATATATGTGGCTATATTTATATATATGGATAGATATACGTGGGGTGGATATACTTACACATATGTGGATACACTTGTATATGTGGGGTGCATATACAGATATATACATAGACATACTTCTATATACATAAGCATGTGGATATATTTATATGTGGACATACTTTTATGTGTGTGGATACTTATATCTACATTTGGGGTGGATACACAAATATACATGTGTAGATATACTTACATATACGGGGTGGATATATGTACATATACATATTTGGGGTGGACGTGCTAACGGCAAACTCATGGCAGCCCTTGAAGCCGGCCCCGGGCTGTGAGGAGCTTCAACATGGCAGCCCACATAACCTAGAACCTGCCTCTCCGCCTCTCCGCTCTCCTACCCCGGCCCTGCTCTTGTTCCCTTTCCTAAGACGAGAGGTTCAGTTTATCTTCCCGAGGTGCTGCACAGACACTGGTTACTGTTTATTGATGTGAGTGCAGATCCCCAGTGCCGGGAGTGGGGTCTGGCTCGTGGAAGCCACCCAGTGAACACTGTGACATGGGCCACCGTCAGTGGAAAGATGCAGATAATGACATAACTGTGAAACAGGAGAACTAACTTCAGTAGACTTTCGACTTATCACCGCTTGTCTGGACAGTCACAGAAATCATGTAGGGTGTGGAGGAGGACGCACTCTGTGCCCACTGGGTGGGCAAAGCTGTGAAAATCCATGTCCTGCCTGACGGAGCAGGAGGGACATCCTGCACACAGAGGTGTCAGTTGTTTCGGCCTTCTGAAAGCAATCCAGCAATACTTATAATGTAAAACACACAAGCGCTTTGATCCAACAGTTTCACGCCTGAGTTCCACAGACAGAAATGAGAACACAGACTATGAAGACGCATGTGCAGTGATGTTTGTGGTGGTAAAACCTAGGTGTGCCGCTATTGGTGGAACCGTTAAATAAACCATGTCACACCACACGCTACTGTGCCACCTCAAAGGAAATACTGACACACCGTTGACCTGGAGGATTTCCACGATGTCCTGCTGAATGAGGAGAAAAGACGCAGAAAACGTGTGTCTAAGACGATTCCTTTTTCTTGGTAAAACGGTGAAAACGCTGCATTTCTTTCTGTTGCTCATTCACACCAACACGCTCCGTGAGGACAGGAGGTCTGGGGAGTGACATTCTCTGCTGACCTAGTCTTTCAGCGGTGGTTTCAATCCGCGTCCCTCAGAGTGGAGGGGTGAGAGGGTGGGCGGGCCACTCGGGGGCCCCAGGGCCTGCAGCTGCCCAGACAGCACACCACAAGGACAGCCAGGGAGGAGACCCGCCAAGGCCAGGGGGCTGTTAGCAGCAGGTCCCCACCCAGACGTGTCCCCTGGTCTGGGAGCCTCCTACCACCGCACAGAGCTGGGCGCTGAGGGGAATGAGCCTTGCTTTCGGCGGGGGCTCCTGCTGAAGGCCGATTTCTAGGTGGTCATCTGGTTGTTCGTTTTCTCTAGACTAGAGTATGCTTTTCCACGGGAGTGAGATAAAAACCAAACAAAACAGCAGAAAGAGGGAGGAAGCCACATGTGCGCGGGGGCCGGGGGCCGGTGGGACGGGGAGATAGGGGCTCTGTCTCCTGTTCAGCTTTACGACCTCACACAAGACATCTGGCTCCTTCGAGGCCCAGCTCCTCGGGAAAGTCACACCCACCTCCAGGGTTGTCAAAGGCACACTTAGTAACACCCTGGAAATGCCTGTCCACCCCAGGCCCCGCAGGAGTGTAGGGCATTCCCCTAGTCCCTGGAAGACTTACGGCATCTGTAGTCACTGGTTAAGAGCAAGAAACACAAGATGTTTTATTTAAATGTGTGAAAATACCATGAAGCAGACAGCCATGGGGCTGGGGACAGTGAGTGAGCCCTTGCTGAGTGCAGTGAACGGCCGTCGCATGTCCACGGCAATGCCCACTTGTGTGGTTGCATGTGTGTCCTGTGTCTACAGCTGCAGTGCACTTGAGGACACGGGGCTCCCACAGCACCTCGCCAAGCCCCAAACCAGCTGTCCCTGCGGGGATGGATCCAAACATGGGACGGAACAGAGTCTGAAGGCGTGTTTGTGTGTGCACGTGTACGTGTGTGCACGTGTGTGCTTGTGCGTCCCTGTGTGTGTACGTGGGTGCCTCTGTCTGCACACGTATGCCTGTTTGTGCACGTGCATGAACTTGTGAACCTGTGTGCGCATGTGTGCGTGCTTGTGCGTCCCTGAGTGTGTATGCGGGTGCCTGTGTGTGTCTGCACACGTACGCCTGTTTGTGCATGTCCATGCACACGTGAACCTGTGTGCACGTGTGTGCTTGTGCATCCATGTGTGTACGCGGGTGCCTCTGTGTGTCTGCACACGTACGCCTGTTTGTGCACGTGCGTGCACACGTGAACCTGTGTGCACGTGTATGCTTGTGCGTCCGTGTGTGTACACGGGTGCCTCTGTGTGTCTGCACACGTACACCTGTTTTTGCATGTGCGTGCATGTGTGCACGTGGATGGGCTCTCCCTCACTGTGCTCTGCTCACTTTCCTCCAGACCCTCTGCCGTTCTGACCTGGGCTGTGGGCTGATACGGCAGCTCAGTGCACCCAGGACCCTCTGGGATGTGTGGACCCTCAGCCTGACCTCCAGCCTGTATCTCTGGCTCCCATCCTGCCCCCGGCCCCCTGGGGCAGCAGGCAGTGGCCAGGTCAGAGTTTAGCTTTGGACTGGGCGCATCCCTGTTTAGAGGTTTCGGCCTCACCGCAGAGCTCACGGCTGCCGTGTACATCCCCAGCCCCCCTGGCAGGCGGGACTCAGGCTCTCAGGGAGTGCCTTGGAAAGCCCGTGGCTGGGGTTTGAGCATCCTCGTAGACCCTACATGCCATCTGCTCTGGCCTCTGTGAGAATAAACTGCCTGTGTGTCCCCCTCCCCTCGGGTAGCCCGGGGAACCCTCAGACGAGAAGACATACTGAGCCCAGGAGAAATGCCCGGCCAGGCCACATGGGAAGAGGCATGGCAGGGGGAACCCTTCTCTTGAAAGGAGACAGACTCTGTCACGTTCTTGGCTCCTCCAAGGGTCTTGAGAAAAAGACCCCTGTATCTCTTTGGGGAGCTGCCCCAGGTGTTCTGCTTGGGAGAATAACGCGGGTTTGTCTAAAGCGGGAACAAAAACATCCAAGAGATGCAGCTGAAGGGAAGGAGGTTCTCTCGTGTTCCTCTCGCTGAGGTTTGTTTCTGGCTAATTGACACAAACCTCGGCATGCTCTAGGGGACAGTAAAGGGAAGACTGTTCTCCTCTGCCACCCCCACTCTCCCCTGCCTCATGCGTCCTTTCCTCCCTCCTGTTTTCTGTCCCCATCTTTCTCCCGTCCTGGGTCCTTCTTTCCTCTGTTGGTACAGGACTCTCGGTGACATCTGGTGCCACGGGGTGCATCTGGGACCCTCCCCTCCACTCTCACAGCTCTGGGGACCAGAGGGCTCCTGTGTCTGCTCCCTCCTTCCCCAACTGCAGTCCTCAGAACTTGCTGGAAATGCAACACTGGCCCTCTTTGCAGGGCGTCCACGGTTTGAGCCCTGACGCAGCACCATCAGCCCATCGTGCTGTGAGCTGTGAGACTGGCAGGTTGCTGGGTCCCCTGAGCCCAGAGTCCTCATTTGCAAAACGGGCGAATTGCTCTCTTAGGTCACTAGGCACTCACCAACAGTGTCCCCGCAAACAGCCTGGCTCTTGGAAGAGACTCACACATGGTTGGGGAGTCAGTGATTCCCAGTGTAGGGCGGTGGGGTAGGGCTGGGATGATGGCAGGGCAGGGTCACTACACCTGCTGCCCCAGGTTTCCACTGCTCCTCGACCCTCAGTGAGGAGCCCCTCAGGAGAGTTGAGAGCACTGCTCCGGTCAAATGCCTGGTGTTTGTGGGCCCAGCAGGGTCACTAGGTCCTTTAATAAAGAGCTAAGGAAGGAGGGCTTAGAGCTTGGAGACCCAGAGAAGTGATGGAGAGCCCGGCATGCCCCTGGTTCATGGCGTGGGGGGTCACCCTTGTGCGCACGGAGGACTCCTGCCCCAGTGGCCCCAATGTCCGCTTGGGGGTGGGGATTTGCCAAGTGAAGGATCTTGTTGTTAATTTCATCACAGCAGGCTCCTGTTATTAATTTAATCCACATGCATCATGGGCTGATTATCCCCAGGATTATATTTACCTGCAGGCCTATGACACAGCTGATGTTCTGTGGTATTACAAAGGGCTTTACTATCTTAAAACTAAATTAATTCAAATCTGTTCAGTCCAGAGCAATGGTGCCAGCAGATGACTCCATCCATTTGGAATCTGAGAGGAGAGCCAACATCCTGGCTCCTTACAGATGAGAGGAGCCAACCTCAGAAGCTACCATCAAATTAAGAGTGAGGAACCAGAACCCAAAGGCCTGCCAAAGACCCTGAGGACACTGTGGCGTGATGTGGTGGTGGAGAACAACTCAGCAGAATGACTTGCATGTTGGAGGAGCTCAACCAATGTTGTACTAAGTTGAACTCGGTATTCAAGACCCACTAACATCCACCACAAACCAGCCAGGGATGAGGGACAGCACGGGTAATGTGGGACAGCACGGGTAATGTGGAACAGCCCAGACTGCACTTGTAGAAACTAGTAACTGAGAAGGTTTATCCTCGTATCAAAGAGCTGGGCCCAAGTGTGTTCATAGACAAGTAACCGGCTCCCGGCAGGCGCTGCAGGGAATGCACGCACTGCACACGTGGCTCCTCCCAGCAATCGGATGCAAGCTCCTACTGCTCAGAATCTGGGAGATTTGGGGAGAAAAGAGTCGCTTTGTGCATGTCCATCTATGTTAGGATTTTCCAGCCCAGAGCTGTGGCTGTGGGCTCCTGGCAGTGCCCTCTTGGAGGTCTGGCTCTTCCTGGGGCAGCGCTCTGGGCCCCTGACCTCCCAGCCCCTGACCTCTCAGCCCCTGGCTGTGCCTGGGACTCTGCTCACTCATCTGCCGACCTGGCCTGCTCTGAGCCCGGGCCTCTTGGCCAGGCCCTCTGCTCCTCAGGCCTGACCCCTCACCGTGACCAGGACTGGGACTGGCTGTGGGACATCATCACGCTGAGAAGTAGAGACAGAGACGAGAGATGGGCGGGGAGGAGGGGTCAGCCGGGGCTGCAGATCACACAGGCCACCCTGCCCACAGTGAGAGGACCTGCGCGGGGTCAGCCTTACCCAGGAGGACGGCTGGTCGGGGCAGTGCAGTGTGCCAGAGCTGGAGTACAGGACGTCATCCTTGACCAGCACCGAGATGGCTCGCAGGATGAAGGAGAGGAACAGATTCAGGTGGATGTAGTTCCGGGTGCAGTGCAGCTTC